TTAATGCAAAAACATAAGCGAATGTGAACACGCGTAAACCAACCGTACTTTTTCATCTATAATGCCACGATCAACATTTGGTCCACTTATTGTGGTTGAGTAAATATATATGCCTACTGTAGTTTAACGCCATGGAATATGTCATGTAATGATATTTACCGCGCCATTTGTGTGCTTAGCGCGCGAGTAGCGGTAAACGCTTTTAAGCAAATACAGTCAGCGGCATAAACAACGAATAAATTCATTTTTGGCGTTATTATTCCTTTTTATGAAAAAAGCCGAAACAGATCAATTTTTGTTTTCATTTTAAAACTTTTCAACGTGACTATTTCAACCCTGAATTGAGCTCCCTCGTAGGGGTAACAACCCCTTAATTTTTTTAATAGGGAAGGGTAGCTTGTGATACTTCGATTGAAAGGAACTTTAATTCCTGATTTGATGGTGTGGTACTTAAATATTTTTTTTAAATATAGAATATCGATATTACTTAATTTATTTTTAATTTTATATTCGATTGTTAGTAATTTATTAGTAAATATCTAATTACAAATTAATAAGGTAAAACGATCAATTTATAATATATCAAATGTTTTGTTCGAGAAAGTATAGTTTTGATTATACCAGCGTGGGCTAAAAGCTTTATTAGTTTGTTAATAGCTATTTATGTAACCAGTTGCGAAATGCCTTATTTTATGTAACTAATCGATTATTTTCGATTAATCAATAATTTTCAGTTCATCGATTATATTCGATTAATCGATTATTTTAGATTAATCAATTAATTTCAATTAATCGATTATTTTGGATTAATCCATTATCTTCGATTAATCAATTAATATTTTTGATTATTATCGATTTATCGATTACCTCCGATTAATCGATTATTTTAGCTTAATCGATTATTTTCAATTATCATCGAATAATCGATTATTATCTTTCAATCGATAATTTGCAATTAATCGATTATTTTTGATTAATCGACTATTTTCAATTAGTTATTTTCGATTAATCGATGAATGTCGATTAATCGATTATTTTCGAAAATAATCGATTGTAAAATAATAGATTGTAAAATAATCGATTGTAAAATAATCGATTGTAAAATAATCGATTGTAAAATAATAGATTGTAAAATAATCGATTATAAAATAATCGATTGTAAAATAAACTATTGTAAAGTAAACGATTGTAAAGTAATCGATTGTAAAATAATAAATTGTAAAATAATAAATTATAAAATAATCGATTGTAAAATAATCTATTGTAAAATAATCGATTGTAAAATAATCTATTGCAAAATAATCTATTGCAAAATAATCGATTGTAAAATAATCGATTGTAAAATAATCGATTCTAAATTGTCGATTGAAAAATAATCGATTGTAAAATAATCGATTCTAAATTAATCGATTGCAAAATAATCCTTTGTAAAATAATCGATTGTAAAATAATCGATTGTAAAATAATCGATTGTAAAGTAATCAATAGTAAAATAATCGATTGTAAAATAACACTTTTTTAAATCAATTGTAACAGAATCAGTTAGGTTTAGGTGTAAACATTAAAAAATAATGGTTATTAGTCATTTTGTTAACAAATATAATTTTTTCATAAATATTGGTCAAAATTAGAAAAAATCTTGTATGTAACACATTGCGAAATGCCGTTTAGTGTAACTCGTTCATTTTGCGGAACTCGCACCGCTCGTCCCGCAAATATTCACTCGTTACACAAAATAAGGCATTTCGCAACTGGTTACATAAATAGCTATTAAACTAATAAAGCTTTTAGCCCACACTGGTATAATCAAAACTATACTTTCTCGAACAAAAAATATGCTCGATAATTTGATATTATAAATTGATCGTTTTACCTTATTAATTTGTAATTGGATTAGATATTTGCTAATAAATTACTAACAATCGAATATAAAATTAAAAATCAATTAAATAATATCGATATTCTAATGATAGATTATTCGGAAATAATCAATTTAACAATAGAAATTAATCAATTTTCTGAATAATTGATTAATGTAAAATAATCGATTAATCGAAAACATTCGATTAAGCGAAAACAATTGATTAATCGAAAATAATCGATTAATCTAAAATAACCGATTAATCCAAAATAATCGATTAATAGAAAATAATCTATAAATCGATAATAATCGAAAATAATTTATTAATCGAAAATAATACATTAATCGAAAATAATCGATTAATCTAAAATGAAAGATTAATCGAAAATAATCGATGAATTGAAAATAATCGATTAATCTAAAATAATCTATTAATCGATAATAATCGATTAGTTACACAAAATAAGGCATTTCGCAACTGGTTACATAAATAGCTATATGTCTTACCTCAATATGTTATCTAAAGGCACCAAGGCAGACTCGTAAGAAAAATGAAGTTTTTTAACATTATTATTTATTATCCATGTGTGATATCCTAAGAAACTGTAATATTTTATGTTAGGCCATCTTAAGATAAAATATTAAATTATCTTCGCCGTGTGTAGCGCGCTTAAGTCACTTAGTTTCTTCTAGATGTAGAATTACTAAATACCTATATGTACAAATTTCATTTGTAAACATTTTTGTTAATAACTATAAGTTCCGTAAGGAACTACCCAGCTCTGGTTTAAAGAAGCCATCATGAAGAATAACTACGCATGATTAATTATTAGCGAGCATTATTCAGTATACAAGGGACAAAAATGATAGTAAATCAAAACAGAAAATACAACCATTTCCACTTCGAGTTCGTAAATAGATAGAAACAGTTCGATTGTAATCATTCGAATAATGTTATTTACTATTTCAAGTTTTTGTATTAAAGGATTTTTTTTTATTTCACCATCATACTGTCAATCTACTGCTGGGAAACAAAATTATGAATACTATAATAGTATTAAATTCACCTCATATTACTCGGAGCAAAGTATGTTGGTTATAAAATGTGTAACTTTAAATAATTTCAATAATGGTTTTTTAAGTTAATTCTCTCGGTTTCTATAGCGACAATACACCGTTGCCAATTTTCATTACAATTTGGGGCGTCTAGTGCCTCTAGATGTGTAAAAAAAGTGAGTCGCGGTGAACACCTTTAAACATTTATATATATATATATATTTTGATTATCAATTTTGTAAATAGTTTTACTTTTTTTATTTAATAATTTTTAACTAAAGTGTACTTTTTTATTGTAAATATAAAATGTAGGTTTATTTTTTACGATTTTTGAGTATATTGACGATGCTAAAAACTGTTTATTTAAGCAAATAAAGTATATACTACTCTATGTTTATCTCTTTCTTAAATAACAATATAAGATGTTTTTGTATTCGAAATAAAATCATAACTACAAAAAAAAATTATTTAGGTTAAAACACATTTAGAGCTGATCTTAGAGAAAATTGATAGTCTGATCTTCCAAAAAAAAAACACTGTTTGAATTATGTGTTGCAGAAGTAGTGCCAGTCTCTAACTGTCTCTTTTTAAGTGCAATATCCAATTCTAAGCTTTACATTCTCAACAAGTGTTTTTTTTTATAACACTCCACTAGTTCCAATTTGTTATTAACCAGTTGCTCATATTTTTCACCTAATCTAGATGATGTTAATGTTCTTATGACAGTGGGTCTCTTCTGCGACTGAGTTCCGTTTTCTTCTTTTTTAAATTTATTGAGGAACTTGGCGTGTAAACCTATAACATAAATTATGATTACATTACTTCTTTTTTAATGCACCAGAGTACAGGAACAGAATAGGTTTATCTTGTTTTAGAAAAATATAATTAGCATACCTTTTCTATGTTCCTTTTGAGAACTGCATTTGGTTTTGAGTCCCTAGGGCTGAATTCTAACTCTGAATTTTGCTTCATTATATTACTAACGTCGCCATTTGTTGGGTTGTCTTGTTTTTTCCTCTGAGTTTTCACTTCTATCTTCAGCAATATCATTAGATTCGTTCATTTCAAATCTATCATCAAAAAGGCTCGTTTCCTAAAACATTTTACAAAAAAGTAGTAACTGAGTGCTTCAAAGTATAACAGAAATGTTTATTTATTTTTTTTGTTAACATTGTAATGTATAAATTGTACTTACATCCTGTAATACTTCTGTAGGCCCATCACTATCAAAATTGGTGTTCATGCCATACACTATGTGTTCATGTACAATCGATAGTAACAGCTCGTCTCCAGGTAGTTCATTAGTAATATTTGAAATACCTCCACCTGTTTTGTACAGCTCCTTCTTCATATCTCCTTTTCGGTTCCTTAGATCTTCTTTTAATTTATCGTAATATTTCTTAATTGATTCCAACGGTTGGGGAACGAGACTTGGAGAAGCAGCATTAAATTCTTCCCAAATTTTTGTCCACGTTTCTTTTTTTTTCATTTATTGCGACCCCATTTGTTTTTTTATTTTCTATAATTTCTTTGTCCTGAAGAATTATATTTAAAAGAATTTCTTTCTTCTTGTAGGTATAGTTCGGAGCCCGCGATCGTTTTTTTTTTATTTTCCGTAATATCCATTATTTTATTTATAATCTATTTTACAAATAATTCACCAAAAAAAAAAAAAAAATAAGAACACGTGAGAAAGATACAATATTAATGAATGAGGATTGTTGAGGTTATGGCGACAAGGCGGCATCCGCAGGCTGTTTTAAATAGATATAAAATAAAAGACCCTAAAAATCTGCTGTGTTGCCAATAGTCTTATCTTCCTAGTTAGGTAGGGAATATTTTCAACTGGTGCAACACTGTAACTAACTGGTAAGGCAGCCCTAACCATTAAGGAATACCTAACTATTCTCGACTTAGGAATTTATTGGTGCAAACGGGCGTTAATGACTTTTAGCTGGAATAGGCTATACCAAAAATAACTTAAGTGATTTACTTGTTTGGGTATTTTGAGGTTATATTTGATTGTTTATGTCCTCTTTCTGTGGTTTGCGATACAACATGTGTGTATTTCCTAATAGTTAAAATGCAGGATTGTAGAGGTAAACGTATTTTAAGACTCGTTCAACTGAATAATGAGAATTTAAGCAAAAAACCCAAAGTTATTGTGCAACAAGTTGCGACTTTGAATAGCTGTACAACAGGTTTACTAGAAAAAGAGATATTACAACAACAGGTTAGTTTTTAAATTAATTAAAAATAAAAATATTTAGGTATTTATTGAATTGCTTTTTCTAGACTGTACCAGAATCTCACTTTGGCTCGAGCCATGAGTTAGATTTTATAAGCAATGAAAATTCGCCGGAAGAAGGTGTTTTAGAAGATCAGGTAAACATCAATCTTTATTTTTTCGAAGTATATTAGAAAAAATCATAGACTTTTCAATTTTACACTGTCTAATGTATTATTTCTGGTTACAAAAATGACTGATTTAAAGATGTTTTTATTATAGGATGAAGAATATCCGTTTGCGGCTAGCGATAAAGATGACGAAGAGTATGATCCGAATATAGAAGAGGACAATAATTCTGACACGTCCGAAGGCACTGAAGGTAAATTGAATTAAAATTGAACTAAAAAAGTATTTATAACATCCATATATTTGTTAGCTCCAAAAGAAGAAAATCCTGATAGAAGTCGTTGGTACAAAGCAGATGATAAAAAGTGCAATCGAAATTTGACGAAAAAATGTAGAAATCTTGGACAACCCTACACTACCAAAAATGGAACAAAGCCCGCCAAAGCTCCTCAATATGTGAATTGCAACAGTTGTCGGTTTAAGTGCTCCATAAAATTTAGCGATGCAGAGAGGACTGAGCTAGGTTCTAGCTATTGGCAATTAGAATCCTAGTCCCGAAAAAAAGATTTTATTCTGAAAAATGTCAAAGCCAATATACCTCAAAGACAGCCTCACCAGAAAGAAAATGCTAAACCCCGAAATAAGAGTTTTATTTCTTAAAAGGCGGGGCACCAACAAGAGTATGTCAGATTTTTTTCTAAAAACCCTTTCTATAAGCAATGGACCACTCAGTAGAGCCTTTGAAAATAAAAATGAAACTTCGGGGCTTTATCAAGGAGGTGACAAGCGGGGCCGACATGTTCCAATAAAATCTCAAGAAGAAAAAACTATTATTAAAAAGCATATTGAAAGTTTTCCTTTAACAGACTCTCACTACTGCAGAAAATCATCTCAGAGAAAATACTTAGATGCAACACTGTCCATAGCCAAAATGTACTCGCTGTACAAAATAATGTGTGAGGCAAAAGGTTATAAACGAAGTAAGCCACGCAAAGATCAGTGCTCTCTTTGCATGAGGTACCAAACAGCTACAGGCGATCAGAAAACTCCACTTGAGTCCCTGTATCTTAAACATAAAAATCGCGAAACTGGTGCCAATAATTCCAAAAAGACAGATAAAGGGAGAGCAACCACTGAACCACATTTTGTAACTGCGACATTTGACCTCCAAAGCGTCCTCCAGATACCAAGCAGTGATGTATCACCAATGTATCATAGCAGAAAATTGTGCGGTTACAATTTAACAATTTACGAAGGTGCTCCACCTAACAATGCGTTCTGCTATGCTTGGACTGAAGTTAATGGAGCTCGAGGTAGTTTGGAGATTGCAACATGTTTATACCGGTGCCTACATAGTTTGTCCGATCATGTTACAGAAGTTTCATTTTTCTCTGATACGATGTAGTATTTGTTCATTTTCAAAACAGTCAGATTGTTACCATCGAACCAAAGTTTCTTGAATCTGGACATTCCATGATGGAGTGCGACAGCATGCACAGTGCCATAGAAAAACAGAAGAGATATTTGGCAGTTTATACAATGAACCACTCGATAAATAATTTTAAAATGGCCCGATCTAAAAGGGAAAAAAAGAAAAATGATCCTTACATTGTTCAAGAACTATGGTATTCTGATTTTTTTGATTTCAAAGCTATTTCCCAAGCTGTTTTAAAAAACAGAACAGTTAACACTGAAGGGTTAAAAGTGAATGCTTTCGTATTGAAAAGGATAATCCAGGTATTTATCATTGCCAACGTCAACAACCGTTAAAAATCGAAATGCTCAACCAAGTTTAGACAGCGAAAGCCAAGAAGACTAAAAAGTTTTATTTGTTATTTTATGTTAAAATGTTAAAATAATTTTGAAATAAATTTCTTTCATTCGTAAATGGATGTTTCAATTTAAACAAGTATAACAGATATTTTAACTATACGTTTTTGTATATTTTCTAATTTGGCAAAAATCACCAAGTCCATCAAATGTCGATTTCCAAGCGATAGGCACTTTTCGAAAGTTTTTTCAAATACTCCTACAAAAGTACTTCTCAGTCAAATATGTTCATGAGCTTAATATGATTCAGTTAAGCAAAATGAAATTTTCATCCAAAGTTGTAACTTTAAACCCTTTTTTCTCAAAACTCCAATTTTGGACTTATACTTATGGTACATGGGGCACCAAACTGCAAGCTATAGAGACGTTGCTGATCTTTTTAATGTAACAATTAGTACCATCAATAGAGTTATAACTAGAGTAACTTTCTTCTTGCGTAACTTATCTCCATAAATCATAAAGTGGCCAAATGGTAACGAACAACGGGTAGCTGAGCAACATTTTAGGACAAATGCATTTCCTAATGTAATAGGAGCCATAGAGGGATGACATATAAATATTGACAAACCAGATAATGACCCTGACTCATATATTAATAGAAAAGGGTATTACTCTATTCAGGTACTGCCAGATAAAAGAACAATTGTATAAAAATATTTTTAAACAATCCATTTTTAATGTTTTAGATGCAAGCCGTGTGTGACCATAAGAGTAAAATATTAGATGTTTTTATTGGCTATCCAGGATCTGTCCATGATACCAGAGTTTATAGAAATTCACCCTTAAAAAATACTCTGCAAGAGAAATGTGGATGGTATTTTATTTTATGTGAAAGTGTTTATCAATTGGAGAATAATTTGCTCACTCCATATAAAGATAGGGGTAACTTAAATAGAGGGCAGCAAAATTACAATGATAAGTTAGCAAAAAATAGATATGTCATTGAGCACTGTTTTGGAATTTTTAAACAAAAATTTCGACAGTTATACCATACCAAAATAAGGAATATTAGAACAATTGTTCATATAATCAGAGCAGCATGTGTTCTTCATAACATAGCCCTTGAGGACAATTTTATAATCAACGAGGAATTCCAACCTCAGCTTGATCAAGATCAACAGATACTTCAAATGAAGATTATTATCCTGACCATGAAGTTGAAGATGAAGAAGCTCGTGTAGTCCGAGACAGGATAGCCAATAATCTACCATTATAAATAGACCTAGTTAAAATTATTATCTAAGTCCATTATTTTGTGTTTTGAAAATAGAAATTCATAGATTCATAGTCACTTGAATTGATTCAAATACAGCCCTCCAACTAAATATTGACAGGTTTAGTAGAAGGGTTCAAATTAAAAAAAAAACAACAACAATATAATGGACATTTAAATATAATTATAGCAAAAAAATACAGATTCTCTGAAAAACTAAACAAACAAAAAATAACGGTTAATTTATTTAACAGTAGGTATTTAAATCTAATCTATGTTTTTTAGGTAAATCTATTTGCCGAAAAGCTTATCTTAGAAAACAAATAAATATATCTCATGCTACATTTGAACTAATTTGGTTCTTTTGCAACATCACAATTACACAGCCTTTTTTCACGTAATATCTGATTTTTTCTTTAAATAATAAATTTCTTTCTTCCATTAAATCATTTCGTCTTTTAAATTCTGCTAACTTTCGTTCTTCAATATCCAATTTGGATTTATAATATTCTTTTCTATCCAAACGCATTTTTTCCATTGTTGTCTTTTTTTCACCACTTCGGCCTTGACTGAAGATTTCAATTTTTTTATTGCTCTCTGTTTATTTCTTTGGTTTTCTAAGTCCTCTTCACAGGTATGTTTGGTAACGATTTCTTCGACCTCTTCTAAGATTGTATCTTTTGTATCTGTACTTAAAAGTATTTCTGGATTGATGTTTTTCTTTTTACCAAATATCTCACTCATTTCAGCCCAATATTCGAAGTACTTTCCTCTGCCTGGAAAATAATTAAATATGTTTGTATCAAAAGTGAGTAAATATATTATTGCAAAATATTGTCATATTTTACTGATACAAAAACAAGATGGCATATTTGAACTTCAATAAAAAAAACATAGTCAATACAAAAAGTCTTAATGCTTACCAGTTTTATTTTGGTTGTCCACGAATTTCTTATAATTTCGTTCCAATACTTTCCACCTATTAAGGCAGTTATTTGAAGTCACATTTATATTTAATGTTGCAGGTTCATTGGCAATCTTCTCCCACAACATCTTGATATTTTTAATTTGAAATGTGCCCACTTTATTTTTATATTTGCCATAGAGGTCTATTAGGATTTTTGTTTCGTTTTGAGTCCATTTATGATCTAGTTTGGTAAGTGCTGTACTGCTAGGCGATAAACCACAAGCTGTTGATCTGCTTGGAAAGCTTGGATTGTCAGTACTTAATATGATGAATTCTGGCATGTCTAAAACAATACCTACATTAAATTTTGGAAAAGACATGACACCCATTCAATTTAGCTAGAGTTTAACAGTTTACAGTTCACACTTCTCAACAAAAAAAAAGGGTAACTATGTGAAACTTACCAAATATATTATCGTTTATATCCATTATTTATGATCACTTTCTACAGTTTCCAACTAAATAATTTTATAACTTGGCTTATACATCTATGGAATGAATAAGGTATGTTTATTTTGTTTACAATTTACATCAAACAAAAAGTGAGGTTATTTTGACCAAGTAAAAAAAATGGCATCACAAATTAAAAACCGTCCCGAATTCGTTTCAACCGATTGTCAATCTAGAAGCATTCAAAAACAGTGCCGATTTAACGCATGCGGATAAAACCAGTCCTAATGATTTCAGAACGGTTCCAGAATCGTTCTAATACATGGGGTTGGAACAAACCTTTAATGTTCGGAAAAAGTGAGCCTTAGCTATTTAACCACAAGGTATTTTTAACTTTAAAATACATTTGACTTATTATATGATGCTGTTACAATGGTTTCTATCCAAAATAAATATGAATTATGAAACCTTCGAAATTTTTTCTGATGATAGTGTCAAAGATATCGAAGACATGTTTAATGTGGTTAGCCAAAAACCTTATATTGTTACAGAGACCTAATCATATGGCATTTTGGACAGTTGAAGAATTCGTTACGTTTTCGGTCGAGAAAAAAAACAGTTAATTTTCTTTTAGAGGAAATTGACGAATTGCTACGTTTTCTCACGGACTGGCGAGTTTAATTTTTTTCTTCATAATATTAAACAGTTTTTTTATACCTGCTACTCATATATATATATATATATATATATATATATATATATATATATATATATATATATATATATATATATATATATATATATATATATATATATATATATATATATATATATATATATATATATATATATATATATATATATATATATATATGTATGTCAATTGGCAGTTTTGAGGACAATTTGAAACCCCTATATACAAATGTATACATTTGTATACATTTGATATACAAACGTATATATCCAACTTTTGTTTTAAAATATGCAAAAATGAGTTATATATAGGTATTTACTATGTATTGGTATATATGGGGTCATTGATTTTGATAATTTACAGAATGTCAAAAAAACGCAATAATGTTGGCAGTGTCTGAAAAAACCCATATTTCCTCGAACACTACCGATTTTATCGAATTAAAAAGATCAAAACTTTTGTATGTATCATCACTGCTTTGAATTTTAAAGACCCTCTATATACAAATGAATACTTTTGTATACATTTAATATACAAACGTATATATCCAACTTTTGTTTCAAAATATGCAAACATAAATTATATATAGGCATTTAAATATGTATTGATATATATGGGATCACTGATTTTGACAATATACAAGATGTCAAAAAAGCGAAATAAGGTTGGCAGTGTCTGAGAAAACCAATATTTTCTCTAACACCGCCGATTTTATCAAATTAAAAAGATCAACACATTTGTTTGCTTCATCACTGTTTTGAATTTTAAAGACCCTCTATATACAAATGAATACTTTTGTATACATTTAATATACAAACGTATATATCCAACTTTTGTTTCAAAATATGCAAACATAAATTATATATAGGCATTTAAATATGTATTGA